AGTTTTAACAACTAGAATGACATACGGTATGATAACGCAGTTTTAACAACTAGAATGACATAGGGTATGAGAACGTAGTTTTAACAACTAGAATGACATATTATATGAGAACGTAGTTTTAACAAGTAGAATGGCATATGGTATGATAACGCAATTGTAACAACTAGAATGACATATGATATGAGAACGCAGTTTTAACAACTAGAATGACATAGGATATGAGAATGCAGTTTTAACAACCAGAATGACATAGGATATGAGAATGCAGTTTTAACAACCAGAATGACATAGGATATGAGAATGCAGTTTTAACAACTAGAATGACATAGGATATGAGAACGTAGTTTTAACAACTAGAATGGCATACGATATGAGAACGCAGTTTTAACAACTAGAATGACTGACATACGATATGAGAACACAGTTTTAACAACTAGAAGAGCTAGAGAAGGCCGAAGCTCTACATTATTTTCAAAACCTAAGAAAAAGAAAACATAATTACAATTTTTGTTATGTTTTCCTTGGAATAAAAGAAATTTAGAATTAACTGAACTTTATTGCTGTACATGTGCTTACTGTATAGATGAATAACAGCTGCGGTGCATTTTTAGAGGATTTCACTTGCCGTGCGTCTAACTAGGTAGTTTAATTTATTCCAAAGCAGCAGTTGTTTAAAGACATTATCAGTAATTCTCTGTTAGAGCTTTAGAAATAAAAAAATCATATTTATTTAATTAAAGGCCTGACATCCAATGTAAAGTATGATACCTTATTTTTAAGACTACAGCTTCTGAATGAAATAATAAGGTTTACTTAATAAATTATTTGGGCAATTCATATCAACGCTATTTTTATTTTTTAATATCATCATTCATGATTCATTATTAAAAGCAATGCATTTTAAACGGAAAAATGCCAACAAAGAAACATGATAAAATTATATTATTTCAGCGAGTTTACGACAAGTCATCGAATTTCTAATTGATTAGAAAGAAACGAATGAAATAGAATATCAGATAAAAGCAGCAATATAGCTCGTAGAATGGAATAATTAAGTTTATAAGCACCTTCTTCTCATTCTATGTTGTAGTAAGTGTATGTATGGCTGCTATGTAGGATATTTCAGTTAGGGAAGACTATTGCAAAGAACGGATTAAATAAAATAAAAAGGACAGCAAAGAAGGTCTTAGTGTGTTTCTGAATTTCTATTTTCGTAATTCACTAATGTCGTTCCAGCAATATTAGGATAGCATTTCATATTTGAAATGGGTGTGTTAAGGCCAGTTGACACTGAAACATATATAAAAAATTATTCACTTACACACACCACAAAGAGATTACGAAAACAAAAGTATATATATATACTGAATTCGAAAAGTTCTCCATTTCTCTCAAGGGGAGCAGTAAGACGCAGACAAGAGATACAAATCATGATTATTTTGTTTCTTAGTTGGGCTGAGATGATTTTGCCCCAGTTTAAAATTGATGACAATGTTATATTTCTTTTACAACCTTGACTGTATGAGACTTTAAACTTATGAAACCTAAAATAAAGTTAATCTTATAAAGCTTGCAGACAGCTAAATTACTAGAACGTAAAGAACATTTTTTGCCTCTGAGTTAGGAAGTACATCTTTCAGTTGTTTTATTGAATATTATTATTGCTGACTTACTAAAATGTTATATAAGGAGCGAAGTGGCTTGTATTTCCTGAAGTACTATACTGAAAAACCTCTAACAACTTCAATGACGTACAAAATACTGTAAATATTTTAAGAATATCTCCGAAGTTTGTGCGGCATATGTTAAATATGTCCTGCAGCGCTCAATAAAGGTTCTTTACAGTTCTACCAGAGCTATCACGGTGGTTTACAGAACATTGATAAGAATAGGGGATCTGAACATTGAAAATGAAAACAATAATAACAGTAACTTGTGTGGAGCTGAAAAATATCATATTTATTGCTCTCAAGCATACCCAAGTATCTTCAATGTACATAATAAATAATAATAAACAAACAAACAAAACTTGAAATATCTGTCCAGTAATTTTGGAATATAAAAATATTGCAGACTGAAACGATTGAATCGCTACGATAAATAAAACTTCAGTCACATCACTAGCTATAAACAATGATGTAACTGTGATATCAAGTTTTTAAAGCCTATATCTATTCGAATAACTAGATTAATGAAAGGAATAGGACTTTATCTTAACAAAAACTAACATACGAAATCAGAATATTTAACTCGTAAGCTAGCTGACAAAATCACCTAACTGTATCTGAAAAACTAGTGTGTATTTCAAATGTGCAAAATGTCTTCATGCCATTAATATACACAGCTATATACTATGTGTTGCATTACCACTAATCACAAAGATATCTTTGCTTTCCCCGTTTCTTTGGTTTTTCTTTAAGTATTATCTACTAATTTATGAGAGATAATATTTTGTCTTGGAAAACATTAATAGACAAAAAATGTTTGTTTCTTGTTGGTTTTTTTTTTTTTGGGGGGGGGGAGAACCTAGTATAACTTACATTATACCCTGTCAGTCGGAAATAGATCAATAATGCTTGGAGAGATAACACCTATAGTAACTGTAACGCACTAATTAGATCAGATTGCGTACGTGCTTGACCTCAATTAAAGGTAAATGTCAATTGTAAATTATAATATATTCAATACTATGAGTATTTTTATAAAGTATCTTATATGTCACATATTCTAATATATGTTAGGTTTACATCCTTTAGATTAAAATTGCCGAAATATTATTATGTTATAAAGTCATCTTAAAATAACATGTATGATGTATATATACAGCTATTCGACAATTATAACCTTAAACAAATGTTAAAAATAAAATAAATTTATGAGAGAATACATATTAATTTTAGGCTCAAACTATCTAATTAATAAGCCTTCCTATATTTTGCGGAGGTTTATAAAGTTTCATAGTTTTTGCCTGAAACTAAACATGCTGATGATAAGCAAATCCATAAGCATAAGATTTATCACCGCCTGATTGGAAAAAAGAGGATTTTTTTCAAAGAACGACTTCACTCTAAACATGTATAGTTTTTACTCTAACGCAAGGAAAGACGTTAGGAAAGACAATGGTGAATCCTGAGGAACATATTTTACTATTGATTGTCTATTCCAGCCAGTGATGTAGAATTATGTTTAAATGTAATTTCTAAGTAGTTATAGATAATAACTAATAATAAAGTTAATTTCGTTAGTTTTCCAGTTGCCTCTAAATTTGATACTCATTATGAAACATCACCAAAAACTAGTTAAATTATTTTTCAAAAAATTGGCTTATCGATATGAGGAAGTTCTGTAGAATATTCCAAGTTATTTTGTTTGTATACGAAGTAACAGTGAAGCAAGACATGTTTTCAATTGTTGGCAATGAAAACGTTCCATCAATAAACTCAGACGATGGCAAGGGACGTTGTAGTGACAACTACCATAGAAGTGTGTGCCATAAAAAAATTCCAGCCTAATCGAGTGTAGGCATAGTCTGAGGACCAGCTTGTTTAGGAGTATGTTAGTACTTTGCCCGTCACAGAAGATAATGTAATTTTCCAGACAAGCTAGTTATCCCTGCTTAACGTGGACGCTGAAAAGCAAAAACACGCATATCAAACACCAAGAAACGTACGTTATCAATTCACGACGGCTGTAAAACACATTTTTCTCTGCTCCAGTATTCTCCGCGCGGTGATCCCTAGGTACACGTTTTTGGTATATATCATTCAAACTACAAGTGAGAATCCGTAGAAAAAAAATTATATTTCGGACAGTTGCGCATTCACTCACACCAATAATAACTTAAATATAAAAACACTTTTATTAGTGTCTATCAATAATACCTAAAACTAAAGAAATATATGTTAGATTTTACAACAAAGCATTTTTGGACACATTCCCTTAAAAATTATTAAAAATTTTTGAGACAGATACATTCTCGAAGGTATTCTTCACACTGTCTGTTGTATATCCATGTAACTAATTCGCAGGGTGTGGATGGATCTTCACCAAAATTGGTATGGAGGTTCATTCAAGGGGAGATATATACAATTTTTTTTAGTTTTGCATTCTGTGTTTTGCAGTTTTTATGGGCGTTTTTTTTTTTTACAGTTACATATAAGGGAAGCAATTTTTCATGTCCTAAGATAACCTTTCATTAATCATGAATTTACATAACTTCCGTACAGGGGACGAGTACTACAAATAATTTTGCATAGAAATGTACTCTGAAGAGTGACAATCAGTAGCATAGTATATCATCACCAAAGTAATAGACATTCTAAAATCTTAATCGTACCTTTGAGTAAAAACAAATCATCAAAAGATTTTTAAAGTGAATAAGTATCTTGAAAATGAGCAAATGCTAGACTTGTTTTCACGGATTATCTGTAAAAAGGGTTGTCTAATCAAATTAGTTGTATTTTCGTTGTATGCACCTCTGTCGAAAGTACCAAAGTTCATTAGTCGCACTGTGTCATAACACAAGTTTGTTGAAGTAGTACTAACAATTTATGACGCATACAATTCTATGTTGTGTTACTCGTAAACAGTCCAAAAATTACCTGTTACTCAGTGATAAAATTTCTAATCACGTTATTAAGTACTAGCTTAAGTCCAGTAAGAAGTACGCATAGCGTTTCATGCACTCTGCTGTACACTATTGACGACGAAGCTTCTCACTACTACCTGAGCTAAGCAGCAAACGAGATTACAGCTCTTTGAATATCTTTTAAGTTATTGTTAATGAATATAGATACTTTAATGTTTTCTCAGATGATTTCTATACCTATATACATCTGTAATTACAGTAACGTTTTATTTTTTGTTGTTGTTTTTACTTTTCAGTGAAACACAAATATTTAATACAACAGTTATAAGCACATTTAACAGAATAGCACAAACATAATGTAATTAAATGTGAATTAGATATTTCCATTTGAATAATTTTTTGCTATTTTTAGTTTTGAATGAGCCCTTGGAACTCTACAAGACGGAACAAGTTGACCAAGAAAGACTCCGAAAAATAGATTCTTCTTTCACATCTACGACAGCAGGTGACATTCTTCAGCCGACATTTGATGACGAAATCCCAATAAACGTAACAACACAACTTGGAAAAAGAGTTTACCTTCACTGTGTAGTTCACAATCTTGGAGACAAAACCGTATGTTTTAGTGTTATTTCTAGGCTTTCAACTTAGGAATATTAACATTTTCATGTTCGAAACTTTATACTTATTACAATTGTTATGGTATTGTGACAAATAAATATTGAATAAGTTTAGCTTTTAGTCAATGATAAGTGAAAATATAGATTCTAAAAAGTTTGTACTCAAAGGCATTTTGGGAAAAATGAATCTATAATACACCTAAAAACAGGTTTGACGTGGAGCACGTCTCGATATCTAGATCAAGATTATGATACCGTAAAGTTCAAAAACGTCTTCCTGAATTACTCAGTTATTTTCTTTTATTATACAAATACTCAAATAGCATATTAAAGGTTTAGATAGATTTGATTAAACAAAATGAAATTTTTGTATATTTTTGTCAAAGTTAAACCGAACATTTAGATTTTTACATTGCACAGTACACGTCAGACTTTTAATTTATACTATAAAATCTACAAAGTAGATGTAGACGTCGATGTACTGGAATATCTAAGTTTACGGTATAACATACAAATCCAGCCTGAGACAGAAGTTTTATTTATCTAGTTAAGAAAAATTCGTATGGTTTTAAAAATACCAGTAAAACTGTATATAATGATTTAAGTTTCTCCAAAAATTATTTCATTTAGAATAAGAAAATTCAGATTTATTTTTTAACATCAAGAATAAATATTAAGTAACGTGCCATTTCCTGCAATATGCTGTTTCTGTGTTTTAATTTTCTGCGTAATTGTACTGGAAAGATGACATTAAGTTTCGCGGAAGTTTCTCTAGCGGCAAACAACATCCCTACTTACATTGGTTTTTATGCAACACGTATAAATAGGGCGTTTATTATTAGCATTCCTGCGATTATTCAGTGTGTTCCTTGTCGCAGAAAAGTTTAATTTTGGTTAATTTATTAATAGTCTTCTAGTCTAATTTATAACATTAACTACTTAGGTTATGTAACTAAAAGTTTAAATATAAAAAGTGGCTTTAATTCAAGAAAAATAAGTTTAGAATTCTGGAGGAGGGGCTTTTAGTGAAATAAATGAAAAAGTATTTGAGCAATAACTATATTTTTGTTGCTTTCTTCAAGAATCTAACCAGCCAAGAAAGTGTAACCCTTTATCATGCTTTATTAATGCTATATCTTTAATAGACAAAATTTCGGTCCAATATATAAAGAATCAGTCACTGAATAATTAGTATTGCATTGGAAGAAAGATTATGTTCGGGCATTTGAAAACTTTCATAATTTAATGTCTGAAAAACTTTTCCTTGTGCTTAAAATTTAAGTAGAAAAGTAGCACTGTTTTAAGATTATATTTTCAGGTGTTCTCAAGTTTAATAACCACCAGTAAAATCAGTATAAGTGCAAACATTAACGAAATCAAGTTGAACAACCAGAGTATACTGTTTACACAAGGAAAAAATGATATCTATCCACGTGTTATTATTTTAAGCATTCACTTGAAAGAGATTTCTTATACTGATTTGTGATATATATAAAATATTTATGATTTGCTTTTTCTTCAAGCCATATCATTGTTATCAAAGTTAAAAATAGACCAGAGAATAGAAATAATATAAAATAACTACAGTAATCTGTTTCTTTCAATCTCTGGTGTATACAGTGGGACTAGATGCAAAAAACAACATTTTTTCACCTTCCACAGTCTTGGAAAACAATTTCCGTCTAAGTGGTTTGCTTCTGAATCTTCTCAGGGTCAAAAATGTTAAGGAAGGTATGTTTCCGTTATGAATGATCATTTCGTCAAGGGAAATAGGCTTTCACACATCCGTTACCATTTTGGTTAACGTTAGAAACCCTAATGCAATAGGGGAATATGACTATAATTGTACGGACACACAACTGTTTCCCAAATCATTTTTTATTCACATTCTCTGTGACACAGGGGAACCCCACACACATGACAAGGAGTTATCTACGAGGAAATAGGTTGAAATATTTATTCTTAGGAAATTATCATAAGAAATAACACTTTCAACAATTTCTGTTTTATAAATGAACGATGAAACCAAAAGGTAATAGTGCTGAATTGCAGAATATTACTATCAAGCGTTTCGTATTAAAGTATCTATTTTGCTTAAATGTTATAAAACTAAATGTGGACGAATCATGACAGATATTCAAGAGTTTGGCATATCTTAACGAAATATACTTTTTAATACATTTGATTTAATGTAAAGAGCAAAATGTGATACAATATTCGATATAAAAAAACGGTTTAGTTTTACCACCAGTGACAATAATACTGATTGACGTTTAAAACACACACAACGACGAAGAATAAAAGTTTGTATGATACATAACTGAATAATTAATCAAATTTAGAATATTTTGTATAATGGATATGGCAAAGGCTAAAAATTGAACTTGCCCTTAACCAAATACCAGCTATTGAGTTTTAGCATGATTAGTTTGGGCAGGACGGTATGTAGCTTTAAAACCTTTGGGCAGTTCAAAATTAAGTGTAGATTCCTATCACTATTGGTTCAAGGTTTGTTCATTTCGCACCAATTCGTACATACTTAGATCAACATATAAGACGTCACAGTCATAAAAAACAAACAAATATAAAAGGAATATTTACCATATAGATAAACTAAAGTTGACATCATGGAAAGACTATTAAGAAGTGTGTAAGTCGAATCGAGTTTACCTGGAATGGTTGTTAGCTTTACTGCATGTAAACTAATTGACGTAGCGAATCCCACATAAAGGGAGAATGCTGATCAAACCATGTATGTTATCTAGACACATAAAATTAAAGTAAAGCGAAACCGATACAAAAAAATTGAGATTAGGAGAAATATGGAATATAAAGATACGAAAATAGACTTGAATAATACACTTTAGGTCCATACAACTAATAAAATATTTACTTTAAAATTTAGTGCTAACGTTCAATGAAAAAATTTATTTGATATTAATGTATTTTAGTTTCAATGATATTTTGTTGCTCGCTAGTATAGAGAAGGAATTCGTAATTATTTTATAGCTTTATTCCTCCAGAGAATTGTCTTTAAATTTACATCCAAGCTACAGAAAGTTCTTCTAGAACAAGATTTTAGTAAGAAAATCTGAGATATCTGTTCAGTATTTTCAGTGAAATTATACAACTATTTCTGTATACAACAAAAATGTATTTCAATGTTTCACACCAATCAGACGTTAAAATGTGTGGCTACGCGATTTTCTTTTGGGACAAGCGCACATCACGTTGAAGCAAGAACTAATTATCAGTCATTAAAATGTACAACACACGTCTTTAATGAAACATGCAATCGAGCAAGGCTCCAATAAAAAATAACAAAATTCATCCAATTAATTAGTTCCGTTTCCCTATGAAAAAGAAAACTAAGAAACATTTAAACAGCTCATTGCTATTTGTCTTTTTCATATTTTTTTCTTATTTAATCTTCCGTTGCCTTTTCTAAGTTTCGCTACTTCATTTCTTATCAAATTATCGACTTGTTTTTATACCCGTCTCTATCACTGAGCTCCATCTGTTGTATCATATTGGAGAATTTCCTTTTTCTGTTATAATACTCACTGTTAATCACTAACCAAAACATTGTGTGAAATTACTCATTTTCTTTACAAAATGCATAGAAAATGACGGATTTCACACAGTGGGATTAAATGTAATATTAATGGTATTCTTTTTACGTATTATTGTGTGAACAACAAAATCGTGCACTCACAAGTAATTTGGAGGAAAATAGGTTTGAAAAATTTAATTGTTTTTCGCAATGACTTACCTTCCCTTCATCACTTATTTCATTGTATGATATGCATTTTATATTTTGAAATAATTTAGCTTTCTTACTTGTTATTTTGTTTTTATTTTAAATATTTGTTCAGTTTCGCACTGTATTTCTTACAATTATTTATCTTTAGTATCGATGCTTGTGTTATTTTTCTTGTTTCCATAAGTTGCACTTTACTTGGTAATTTGTTTAAAATTTTCATAATTATGTTAACGAAACCAAACATGATTGAGAGGATGAAGGACATTATATTTTCATGATTCATTCAGCGTTTCGAAATACATTTATTCCACCATCAGCGAAATCTGAAATGATGTACTGATTTATACAAGAACAAATTAAGTAAAATAATAATGATATTGGAGAACACGAAGCTTACAAAACATTGAGAAGAAATGAGTAGTAGAACTGATACATATGAAACATAAAGAATACTTAATAAAATTATCAATACACTAAAATGAGTAAACAATAGGGCAAACACGTATACAAATAAACATTTCAACTGCAAAATAAAATAATAATACGTCAATTAACAATTTTGGGCACATGAATTGCAGATTGATGGTTGTTGTCATTATACTAATTACAACGATTTTAGTTGAAAGAACGTCTGTTGATGATTTATACTGTTGATGATGAGTTATAAGGCTTTCTTTAGTGGTATGTAGATCCCGTTGTAATGGTAAAGTAGTTAATTGATATGTCATGGCCTGTGGTTTCTTCATGTTATCGGACGGCTGAGTGGTAGCGTTTCACTAGGTAAAAGCCAGTTCTACTCAATACGTTTTATTGGCCACAGTTTTCAAACGATGCTGTGGTTTCTTAATATTATCGGACTGCTGAGTGGTAGCGTTTCACTAGGGAAAAGCCAGTTCTACTCAATACGTTTTTATTGGCCACAGTTTTTAAGCGATGCTGTGGTTTCTTCATGTTATCGGACTGCTGAGTGGTAGCGTTTCACTAGGTAAAAGCCAGTTCTACGTGTTTATTGGCCACAGTTTTTAAGCGATGCTGTGGTTTCTTCATATTATCGGACGGCTGAGTGGTAGCGTTTCACTAGGTAAAAGCCAGTTCTACTCAATACGTGTTTATTGGCCACAGTTTTCAAACGATGCTGTGGTTTCTTAATATTATCGGACTGCTGAGTGGTAGCGTTTCACTAGGTAAAAGCCAGTTCTACTCAATACGTGTTTATTGGCCACAGTTTTCAA